ATGCATCGATCTCAACATCACTTGTAAAGAAGGTGCCAGACTAAAAGAAGAAGATTCCAGATACTGTTGAAAAACTACTGGAAAAAGTCAAATTCTTGGAAAAGGTACCAGTGGTAGACAGAAACCTACAGGAGACTTTACAGCCTATAAAACATTCCACACTCACTGTCTCATTTAATCTGCAGGGAAGTAGACATGGGTCCACTTAAAGAAAACTAACCCAGGGCTGGGGATTTAGCTCAGTGGTTCCGCTGCCTGCCTCGAAAGCGCAAGGACTGGAGTTCGATCCCTGGTACCAAAAAAAAAAAAGAAAACTGACCCAGAGGTTTGAGGGGGTGTAGCTCAGGGATACAGCTGTGGCCCCAACACAGCAAGAAGAAAAAACAAAAAATAAAAGCCAAGCAGATTTAAGAAAACTGACCCAGAGCACTCAGAGTAGCTGTACTGGATTTCCCAGAGGGTGAGTAGCCAACCCAGGATCCCCATCCAGATCTTCTAACTCCAAAATCTCAAGTTCTTCCCTTGTCATCTCCTAACACTTGGAGTCAGGAAGTCACTTAGGGAATGTGTGCACACCTCTATGGAACATGCCAGACGTTCCCGGTGTGCAAAACCACTCACCTGATCCTGCTGAAGAAGCAGCCCAAAACCCTGGGGCTCAAACAGGTCAACTCTTTCTAATGTCAGTGAGGTCCTTGTTGGGGTCATTAGGAACCATGAAGGTCTGTTTCAGAGCCCTAAATACAAAGGCGTGGTCTATTTTAATGGTGAAACCTAAACTCTTCTTTGCAGTTCTCATCCTCCTTCACCTTTCCATAGGACTCAACGACTTACTCTCCAGACCACTGCTCACAGTTACTGCTAATAAATGTTTGTGGAACACACCATAGGTGGTAAAGTTTTTTAAAATTCCTCAGGATCACAAAGTTAACAGGATAGGCTATGGCCATTTGAGTTATGACAATGAATGTTCCATCAAACTCATTTCCTCTATTCTATTTTTTTTTTTCCAGTACCAGGAATCAAGCTCAGGACCTTGCACTTGCCAGACAGGCGAGGTGCCACTGAGCTACATCCCCAGGCAAGGCCAAGTGAGCTACCTATTGAGTTTAAGGCCAGCATGAAGTACAGGGCAAGACCTGTCTTTAAAAAATAAAAAAAAATTTTAAAAAGGAGGAGGCATTAGCCTATCACACAATTATTCTTTGGCCTGAAGCCAGAGACCCATTGAAACTTTTTAAAGAGATTCCTTTGCCACACCTGTAGTTAGGATCAATGGAAAGGAATTTCCCCCACCAAAAAGGGTGGGGACAATCAGAAGATCCCTAAAATTAGTCAAGTGAAAAACCGAGAATGGGACTGATTGGGATCTCAGCTCTCTCAGGCCTCCCTCCCCCAGGCAAGGTGCTCAACCCCCTTCCCTCTCCCCTCTTCCAGATCTGCCCTCCTCAGCCCTGTTAATGGCTTATCTGTAAAATAATTCGAGGTGACGGAACTCCCTAGCTAGGACTCCCTCCAGCTGTAAGGTCTCCTGAGTTTCTATTACAAGATAGGCACAGGATTGAAGGGAGTTTAGGCAGAAGCCCTGTGAAGACCAGAAAAGAACTTCAGAGAAACAAATCGAAGGAAACTGCTATGAAATAAAGCAGCAGCCAGGTAGCACAGATGTGATAAAGCAAAAATGTAGCTTGTTTGTCCTTGGTTCCACAATCCTTTCAGATATAAACTTCAAGATGAAATTGTCATGAAAGCTGACACTAACTCCTAAGGACATTACCAAGTTTTATTGGATTAAATAACAAAACTTTGTCTAAGGTCAATACAATTTCCTCAAAAAACATTTTTTTAAGCAGCCAGATATGGTGGCACACACCTACACTCCCAGCTAAAGGAAGCTGAGGCAGGAAGATCACAAGCTCTGAGGCCAGCTTGGGTAATTCCGCAAGACTGTCTCAAAAAAAAAAAATAGAAAAGGGAATGGGAAAAAAATAGAACCAAGATATATCATGTACAGGTACAAACTCCCAGTGGTGAATGTGATCATTCTGTACACCAAAAATGTACCAATAAACTTAATGAATAAAAAAATTAAAATAAAAAGGGCAAGGGAGGGGAGGCAGCTCAAGAATGCCTCTGCTGTCAATTCCTAAGACTGCAAACCACCCCCTTACCCCTTAGAGTACTTTCAGAGGTCTGGGAATTTTTCAAAGAACTGTTAGTGAAAAACGTTCAGAGATTTTTCTATCTACATTTAAAAACTGGAAATATGATTACTACTGCAAAAGAGCACGTTAAAGTGTTGATAAACATAATAAAATAAGCCAGGCCCGGTGGCACATTCCTGTAATACCAGCACTTGGGAGGTGGAGGCAGGAGCACTGCTGCGAGTTCGAGGCCAGCCTGGGCTACATAATGAAACCCTGTCTCAACAGACAAAAAAACAAAACAAAACAAAAGCAGAAGAATAAAATAGTTACTGTTATTTTCATTGTCTATATGCCTTACATCATGGTAAGCATAATGTATTGTATCTCTTTATGTTTGCAGTGTCCTGAGATGAACTCTGTTACTATCATGTCAATTTTGCAGTTAAGCAACCTGAGCCATGCAGTTAGGTGACTTCACAAGATCACACAGCTAGGAAACAGTGTCGCCACTGCCACTACCCAAACACTTTGACTTCATAGTTCAGGCACTTACAATTTTTTTTTCTTGAAAAGCATTATGCAAAATATGAAAAAATGCAAATAATTTTTAATTATAGATATAGAATTTTTAAAAATAAAAACTATCCACAGAACACTGAGAGTTCAATTTCTAGTGATCCAAAGTTTGCAGTGGGTTCCTACCAGAAATGTAGTGCTTCACTGTAGGCATTTACAATTCATCATATTTTGCTTCATAATAATTCAGGATCAATCCAGAGGAATACAGAAATCTCCTCAATGCAGAGGACACAGACCTAAAACCAATCAGGTACAGACTAGAAATGAAGTGATCAAGTTCAGATCATAGAAATCTGAAAAGTTTCTAAAAGAAAAATCTCCAGTTAGGAAGCAGCAAATTTTACCTAATGTGATAAAGACTTGTGGAATGCCCCTCAGCTTCTGTAGTAACCTTACAATTGGATAGTAACTTAGAGATCAGGACTTTTTGAGTACAAAAAAAAAGAAAAAAAGCAGAAGCTAGGCACAGCAGGGGCTGAGGAGGCTCCTACAATACAGTGAGTTCCAGGCCAGCCTGAACTACATAGCAAGACCTTGCTTCCAAAAAATAAAATAAAAATAAAAGAGTCAGATGCTGGGGATTTAGCTCAGTGGTTCCGCCGCCTGCCTCGCAAACGCAAGGTCCAAAAATAAAAATAAAAATAAAATAAATTAAAAATTAAAAAATAAAAATAAAAGAGTCAGAGAAACACTATATTTAGCACAGGAGATAGAAAGGCAGACAGACAGACACAGATAGAACCCTCAGCACTGTGCAAACCTCCCACAACAACCTTAAGCCCTCTTGCTGCGTTTCTGACCCAGAGAAAAGGTGTTCAACGAAAGAATTATTAACAGTCTCCCCTGACTCCCGGCCCTTTCCAAGCATTTCTGCAAGACCAGCGGTGTTTGCTGGCGTTTCCAAACTTCTTCCCAGGAAGTCTGAAATGGGTGCTGCTAGGAGTTGCTGTATAATTACTTACTTGATTCTCTCTAAGGAGCTTAGGCTAAGAATTGAAGAAAGAAAGCAGATTAACCATTTGAATACATGCCACGGCCCATCCATAAAGCCCTCCCCTCTCTCTCCTCCATAAACCGGGGCTTCCACGGTCTCCACCCGTCAACCCTAATATGTGATCCAGGGAAATCAATTTATTGCTTTGGCTAATCCTGCAACAATAGGGGTTTCATTTTTATTGTCGGGCAATTAAGTTGTCCGACGCGCAGGAGCTGCAGGGTAGGGGGGACTCCCCCATCCCCACAGACAGATTAGTCCCGCGGTGGCAGCAGCGTCCGCTCTGTCTGTCTGGCGGTCGGTCACACGCAGCTCCCGGCTGCTACCTAGCAACGCAAAGCCAGGGGAGAGCTCGCGGGCTGGGCGGCCGCCTCCGCCCTTCCCATTCATCCCAGCTCGCGCTTCTCTCTCCTCGTGCTCTCTCGCTCTCTATTTCAACTGCGCTTTCTCCCCTCCTGTCCTCCTATCTGCTTGTGTTTTCCTCTCTCCTTGTCCCCTCTACTGTTTTTATACCCTCCACTTCTTCCCCCCTTTTCTTTCCCTCTCCTCCGTTACTGGAAAAACAAACTCCGCCGCAACTTGAGAGAAGTTTGAAGCCATTATTAGGAAACTTTTTCCATTCGGCCTTCGAGCCCCAAAACTCTGGCAGCGCAGACGGGCCCCATTCACCCACACAAAAGCCCCCACCTCCCGGGTGGAAAGGAAAACCTTGCAAGAAAAGACCTCAGCGCAGGGCTGCCCTCTCGGCCAATCCCGCCTGCCGGCCTTATCTCGGCTCCTGAACGATCCGTATCTCGAGATGCGGTCTCCGGAGGGTCACGGCAGGACCGGGTTTCGCCAGCGCGGGGAGGGGAAGGGAGGGCAGCGCGGCCCGGGAGGGCCTCGCAGGGCCGGGGCGGGGGGCGGGGGGGGGGCGCTGCAGGTGGGAAGCGGCCCTCCGCGCGGGGAGGAGGCGCCGCGGGCTCCCAGGCGCAGGCTGCAGACCTGCCAGGAGCCCCTCGTCCTCCCGCTTCCAATCTCCAAGTGCTCTTCAGAGAAGATGGGAGACCACATGTGCGCACAAAGACGGGGTCCCCCAGGGATGCGCTGTCACCGACACCCGGGAGCTGCGACCTCGGGCCGGCGGCTGCTGGGTCCCGGCCGGGCCGAGGGTCCCCGAGCGGCGTGGTGCCGCCGCCCTCCCCGCCGGACCCGGCCGCGCTCCCCTCTGTGGCGGCAGGCTCGACCTCGCCGTGCCCAGGAAGCCCGACGTCGCGCGAGGCTCCCTTGCGAGCGCCTACCTTGGCCGCCGACTAGCGCCGGGCAGGCGGCGAACGCCAGCAGCAGCAGCAGCGAGCGCACCGCCGCCCCGCGCTCCATCGCACACCGGTGCCGGCCTCGCCGTTCCTTCCCGGGGAGCTGGGCGCGCGCCGCTCGCAGCTCCCGCAGCGCTCCGCTAGAGACCGCGCCTAGTGGCAGAAAGCCGGCCCGGCGCTCCGAGCGTCCTGTTTTCTACCCGCGCCAGTCCCCACCCTCCGGCCCGCGCAAAGAGCCCTTTAGACCCCGCCGCCCCGGAACTAGCATCCCGGAATCCGGAGGGGCAGGCCCCCCGCCGCCCGGCCCGCCCTCTGCTCCGGGCCCTCGGACCCAGGCGCGCTCACACGTGCGCCGTCCACACCCGCGCCTGCCTGGCTGCCACACGCGCTGCCAGGGTCACGCTCCCTCACGCACGCACGCCCCGCGCCACATTCCAGCACCGTCGCGGTCTCGCCTGCTGAAGCATGTCGCGCGGGCACGGGCTACGCTCGCCCACGGACAGCCCCCGGGGAAAGTGCCCTCCAAGGGAAATGAGTGCGGGGGAAGACGGGAGTGGTGAAGGGAAACGAAAATGAGAGATGGGAGAGAAGCAAGACAGCAAAAAAGAGGGACAGAAAAGAGAAGGAAAGGCAGCAGGAACACGACCCTTCGCCCCCAGCCTACACCCTCTCTGCTCCCTGGAGCCCCTAGCTTCCCCTGGTGGGGTTTGGGCTGCGCGGAGGGGGTGGGGTGGCCCCGTGTTTTTGTAAGTTAAGAGAGGAACCTGGATCGTTGTTAGAGGAGCGGTTGACTTGTTTCGCTCTTTTCCCAAGCACCGCTTCTGCAGGTGTTACAACCAGATCGCTCTTCTTACAAATTTGTGCTTTTTTTTTTTTTTGAGTCTGTGCATTTTGGTTTTTTGGGTTTTTTTGTTTTTTGGGGGGTTTTTTTTATTTATTTATTTATTTATTTATTTATTGGTACTGGGGATTGAACTTGGGACCTTGCACTTGCACGGCAGGCGCCTGAACCATTGAGCTAAATCCCCAGCCCGAGTCTGTGCATTTTGAAGCACTTCTCCGTGGTACCGATTTATAGCGGGAAGACACGGGGGACGGGGGGCTCCCAGGTCCCCTTCCCTGGGGCCAAGTTGAACGGGCTGGCGAGGACCCGGCTCTCAGGAGCCCGGAGATCGAGCCTTCCACGCGCGCTCGGAGCACGGCCGTCAGCCCGTAAGCGACACCTCGCTAGAAAACACGAGGGTTCGTGCAACTCGTGGCAGGCGCTGGGATATCGGGGCTCTTTCCGGGCCTGGAGCTGTCTCAGACCCTGAAGCAGCGTATGGGTCCAGGCAGCCCTTTCCCTCAGCCGAGCGGGCAGTGACGCCGGGACGCAGCGGCCCTCGATCCACGTGGCCCCCGGGCAAGGCCTCACCACCACCCCACCACCCCCCAGACCAGAACCTGCCCTTCGCTCCGGCCCCTTCGCCCCCGAACACCTACGACCCGGCCTCCGCCGCCCGCACAGGCGGGTCGCACAGCTTCGGTGGGCAGCTTGCTGGGGAAGGGAGAGAGTACGATGAGCGTTACAGATTATTATTTCTGTCGTCCTGGGAATCGCACCCAAGACCTCGTGCATACTACGTCCCTGAACTACGTCCCCCAGACCAGGTGTTTGAAAGACGATAAGCTAAGTAGACACGCGGGGACAAACTAGACTAAAAAGAGTAGAGCTGTGGATTGAGTGTTTTCTGGGTTAGGAAATCCGGGGTTCTGGGCTCTGGCCAAAGTCACTGGAACTCGCTGCCTCCAGTCGTGCGGAGCTTAGGGGGAGGCAGGATCGGGGACCCGAGAGGCTGAGGGGGCGACCCAGGCGGCAGGAGGGACGCGGCGTGGGGGCGCGAGGCCCCAGTGCAGTCCGCGGGTGATTTATGCTGGTTCCAGGCGGCCGGGCCATGGTACGAGACCGCCCGGGGTCAGGCCGTCCCGACGCCCTCAGTCCGGGGCTGCGCGCACAGTCACAGCGCCCGGCCCCTCAAAGTCGCAGGACGCAGCCGCGGGGCAGGAGCAGGTGGGAGGGGGCTCATGTGCGCCAGGGGCTGGGCCTCCTCCCGGCGCACGTGGGTGCGCAGGCGCGCGCGTGCGTGTGTGTGTGTGTGTGCGTGTGTGTGTGTGTGTGTGTCTGTGTCTGTGTGTGTCTGTGTCTGTGTGTGTGACCTTTCACTGTAGCAGTCAGGCTCCAAACATTCCTTTCTGCCCTGAAGGGTTTTCCTCATTGTTGTTGTCTTTGTGCTCCAGTGTTGCCAACTTACTGGAATTCCTGAAGTGGTTGCACAGCAGGGCTCGGGCTGATGGTACAGCCAGCTGCGTTTGTGTCTGGGGCCAACCCTGCCGCTAATCCCAGAATAACGCAGAAGGGGAAGGCACGGAGAGGAGGGGAGCAGAGCACATCCCGCCTCCCTCACACTCTTTCCTACCCCCCCCCAAAGTAATTCCAAATTCGTGGCAATTGTAAACAGCCTTACCATGCTCCTGTTTATCTCGGGTGTCTATACCTGAGAATGCTTGTGGATAGATCTGGAGGATTAAGCCTGTGGACCTGCGACTGGGAAAGCAAAGGCTAATTCAGCTGTAATTTAAGCCGGCATCATTTTTCTCTAATCCAAAAAAAAAACCTGATTTTTTTTTCTTTTTTATATTTCTTTGTCCACATAGGTACATATGTAGGACTTTACAGAGCAGTTAGCCTAAAAGTGCTGAGGAAAGTGCTGAAAAGTGAAATTCATTCTAGCACATTTATGTTAACTGTCTGTCCTCCTTGATATATTTTTTGGCCTTTGTAAATTATTTTACTAGTTCATCACCACTTACAAACTAATTGAAAATATTTTCAGGGCCTCTGTTTCTGTCTTGAACCAACTTCATACTTCTTGCATTGGACATGAAGTTGTCAAATCTCCTTGGGTAAAATCCAGCTAGAGTTTGCTAATGATCCACTCCTGCTGCCATAGATCAGCAGGGCACTGGACAGCTCCAAACCAATGTCCTGAGACCTCAGACTCAACATTATAAAGCTTTGTTATCCCAGGAAGGAGCACCCCCATCTATGCAGAGACCAAGCCTGAAATTTATGCTTTTCGTGATTCCTCCCTGTTTTCTTCACACCTGTATGTGAAACTCTGTTAACTCAGTTTCTCAGTCCATCTGCTTCTCCTCCATATCCACTCACTTCTCAATCCTGTTGTCAGTAGCCACTGAGCTCTCTCCCTGGAATTATGGCAAGACCCTTCTAATGGGCTCCTTGCAATCAGTTGGATCGTCAGTTTTCCATTCAGCAACCAGATGATTTAGGGTGATATTGCCAGCCAGGCATGGTGGTGCACACCAGGTACTCAGCACTCTGGGAGGCAAACGCTGAAGTACTGAAGTCCAGCTCAGCCTGGGCAATTTAGGGAAACCCTGTCTCAAAATAAAAAACAAAAAAGGGGCTGGGGAAGTAGCTGAGTGCAAAGGCCTTGGGTTCGACCCCCAGTACCACAAAAATGAAACAAAATGTAAAAGTAATATTTTTGTCAGACTAGTGCTTTCGACAGAGGTCTTCATTCATTAGAGTGTTATGAACTCAATCTAGTAGGTCAAGGAAAGAATTACTTTAAATGATAAAGAACAGAATAGAAACCAAAATAAATTTCATATGGAGAAGATTATGTGTTATTTCATAGATACTATTTCATCATGTGTATGTATATATCGTGACATCCACATGTGTGTCACCGTACAAAGTATACTTAAGTGAATCTCAGGGAAAAATGTTTGAAGTATTCTCCTATAAATTACTTACTAATTAAATGGGAAAATAGTAAATTTAAGCAAAGTTTTGGCATTTGTTTTGGCATTTTTTTTTTTTTTTGGAACCGCGGATCAAACTTGGGTCCTTGTGCTTGCACAGCAGGCGGCGAAACCACTGAGCTAAATCCCCGACCCCTACCTGGCAATTGTTTTAATGAGATCAACAGGTCAACTGCCACTGAAAATACAGTTTGCAGGCCAGGTATGGTGGTACTCACTTGTAATCCCAGCACCAGGGAAGCTGAGGCAGGAGGATGCAAGTTTGAGCCAGCTGAGCTACACAGCAAGTTCAAGACCAGCCTAGATTACATAGTTAGACCCTGTTGTTTTTTGTTTTTTCAAAAATTGTGTGTGTGTGTGCATGGAGAGAGAGAGAGAGACAAAGAGGCCCACCCTATGGTTGCAAGAAAGTAATAAGGGCCAGAATGAAGCTGGAAGGAAACTCTGGAGACCCAGCAGACTGCTGAACCCTGTACTGCATGAGCCTTTTGGCCAGCAGTCAGCACACACCATGGTCAGCCTCAGGTCAGCTCTCAGTAGCAACTATCACCGCAAGCCTCTGTCTTTACCCAGGTCTTCAATTGCATCTGCTGGGTCAATTTGGTGATAGCAAATAACTAAGCAAAGAACTCTCTGGGTCTGTCAGACCTGGAAAGGCTGCAGAAGAAAAATAATCCTGAAGTGACAACTGCATAGAGAAAAGAAAATATCATTTTTTATACTCACGTGTCTCAAGAAAGGGAGCACACATAATGCCAAAGAGGACCACACCAGTAAGCGGAGGGGAGGCAGTAAGAGCCTATACTGTGAGATCCATGGGAAGGACAGACAAGGCAGGGCAAGCGGGATTGGCACTGGCTGGATTTGGGTCTGAAACACAGGCAGGAGGCAGGTCAAGGCAGGTGATGGAAGCTCATTATCAGGCTGTCCAGAGCAAGGTGTGTTTGGAGTACTCAGGCAGGGTAGATGTTAAAGCACTGCATGAGCCCAAGCCAGAAACAAGGTAAACACAGTTGACACCACACTGGCCAAGGAGTCAAAGGTAATGTCACAAAGCTGTTGCAAAGCAAACTCACATCCTAAAGTCACACACAGCGGAGGACATGACAACATTTTTGTGGCGTTTCTGACAAAAAGGTGTAACCTGATTCTGAGCATGAGAAGACATCAAACTGATTATCTCTCGTTTTTATAGGGTGGACATTCTAGAAAATCGGCTTCAAAAATGACAAAGTTGGGCCGGGGCTTTAGCTCGGTGGTGCCACCATCTGCCTCACAAGTACTAGACCATGAGTTCGATCCCCAGTATCAGAAAAAAAAAAAAAAAGACAAAGTTATAAAAGAGAAAGGCTGAGAAACTATTTAGGGCTGTGACAACTAAGTGCAATATGTGACACT